AGGTTTTTAGGATTATTTAGGTTAGTATTAAAAAGTAGTTTATTTTAGCACGGAGCTGTAGAATATTTCTTATACGTGTAGGGTTAGTTCAAAGAAATTTAGTAAGTTAAGGAAGTTGAAAATGATAGTGTTTAAATTTGACAATAAAGAAATCTCACTATTGGTAATTCTTTCTCTCATTGTTGCTTGTATCATATTTGGAGTGAACTTCTGGTAAATTCTGCTCCTCAAGTCTTAAGTTTGTCCACTGAAATAAATTTATCAGTAGAGAGTGGAAACCCACTACCTCTACTGTCAAGTTGTGCACATTTGAAGAAAAGATTGCAGCAAATGGAAATTCTTTTTGATTCAAATAAGCCTGTTTTCTGACATTTCTTGTTACGTTAAATCTTTGCCAAATAGGTCAAAGGCATTGAAGTTTGCACAAACCCCTCCCCAAATGACCTTGTTCTGGAAGGTTACAGAGCAGTGCACATGGGCTGCTCTAAGGTGTCAGCTAAAGCAGCTCTCAGGACTGCTTGTAATTCATGGCCTCACCTTGTCAGTGAGGCAAGGAATATCCAGATCTTTGCGAGAGTTTTGTAAAACACATGGAGAAGTGTTGGAGGCAGGGTGCTACATGAGTCTTAAAGAGAAATTGGGTTCCAGTGTCCCTATGGAAATACTGTCCATTTCTAAGCACTTTTAAATCTCGTATGTCTCAACCAGCCTATCTAGAGAGACACAGATGTTGATTCCTTCACAGACTTATGGGGACTTTGCTGTCAAGTCCTTTTCCTAAATTTCCTGCCATGTATTCATAAAACTGACACAGGAGAGGTGTTGCTAGTAGGGCCATAACCTTCTTTTGGGAAAGTTTATGAAATTGAGGGAGGGAGGATAAGGAGGGACAATGCCACAACTCAAAGGTGGCTGTGAATGCCCGTTTCTTCCTCAGAGAGGATTCTATAAGTTCCTCCCCTGTTTCCATGCAATGATGTTAAACCCTACACCTGAGTGGTCTTGGTGTGTTTTGCATCTGTTGCCCTTCTGTTCTCCTTCAAGTGAAGTCCATTAAAATGTCACCTCTTAAACCCAAAATTTGGGTCCATTTTTGCCAGGGTCAGGGGATGCTCCTACAGCTCTGCAGTGCAGCAGCCCCAGGAATGCTGCCATGGGGGGCATGGGGTGAATTGTGCTGGGGAGCCTCCCCTTGGCCTGGTGGCTGCTGCTCGTTGACAGAGCGTGCAAGAGTGCTCCTGGTGAGTGTGGGCTGAGAGTGAGGAATTTTCATAGTTACCCCTTCATGACCTGTCTCGCCTTTTATGGAGTTTCTTCCAACTAATTCTACACCAAATAAAGAAGTTATATTTCCATGCTTTAACAAATTGAGGCTTCAAATTCTCGTCTACATTTTCCCATCCAGTTCCTTGTGTGTTGGGCCTGGCATTCCTTGAGGAAAGGTGTATTAATGTACTGATCCCATCACCTTTTATTGCTGCAGGAGTGTTTTGGAACACTTGAAATGGTTCCTTTCACTTTTCTTTGAGTGCCTTGTTGCTGTACTTTCTGACATAAAGACAGTCCCCAGGTTGATGAGAATGTACTTGAGAACCCAAAGCAATCAGTCATGATTACAGCAGAAACCTGTGCAATATTCGCAGCACTTTTCACAAAGATGGTAGAAACTGACTTAAATTATCATTCCTCTCATATTACTTTCTCTAGAAAGGATTGTAATATGGTATTTTCGTCCATAGAGCATTTCCGATGAGCTAACATCTTCTTTAGAAGCCACTGGAATTCTGATCCTCGGTAGTGCAAGGGGAAGCATTTGTGGCTGCTTCAGTGAGTTTTCCTGGCAACTTTTACTAATTTCTGTTTTTAGACTCTGATTTGGTGTCTCAGCCTTGCTGCTGGCCAATGACCTCCATGGGCTAAGTAGGTCCCATTTAACTGGGAGTGTTTCACATAAATTTGGTATAGTTTATGAAATGAGAATCCCTTTCTGATGAGATTCCAAAAGGAATCCCTAGTCTTAGTAGTATTTCTTTAATTATTACTTGAGGTATTCTTTAGCTTTGTTTGGTGTGACAAGGAAAAGCCTCTGGCTGTGCAGAAAAATGGGTCTACTATACCTAAGAACTTTTATCCTTCTTGCTGAGGTAACTCAGAAAAATGTCTTTGGCCTTAATCTCCTGAACTACCGCCCTATTTTGAGATGCCTAAGAGCAGTCTTTTGTAAAATCTGTAAGCAGGTTTTACATTTCACTTGTCACAGTCCCTGTCAGCCTAACACTAAGTAGCTGCCTTTAAAAATTGTCTACTGTACCTTCAATACCCCAATGGGTTTCTTTGTGTTTGCCTTTTCTAGTTTGACTCATTATTGCTTAAGGCACTCTGTCTTGTTGATTTGTTGATACCTACCTCCCTTTGGGACCAAATCAGATATTTAAGGATTTTACTGAATGATTGTTTCATCATGGTGTTCTGGGTCTGATTAGGAAAGGTTCACAATTGGCAAAGAATTGCCAACAAGATGCTTTGTTCTGCCACCTCTGCAGCAGTTTATTCTGCTCATCAGTCTCCTGGCCTTGTGTGAACTGGTGAGCTTTGCAGTGCATTATTGCTACTTCAGGAGGGAACTGGATGCTCCCAAAGCTGTCCCAATTTGATTGGAGATGCTGATTCCTTGCAGAAGGATTGAGGAACACAGCAGGGTTCAAGGCAGTAGCTGACTTTAGCACCATGTCTATTGTTCCAGGAGTGCCATCTATTCCCTTAGGAAAACCAGTGAGTTCCTTTTTGCTCTACACCAGACAGAATAATTTGTGGCACATAAAATGACATTTTTTTTCTCATGTATTTTCAAGCCTATTCTCCCAAAGAGGACTGTGGTGGTTCCTGTCCTCAGGTGCGCTGGTCATGCCCTGGAGACAATGTTTAGATATTCTTTTAAGAAATATGCTCCTTTCTAAGGGGTTCTTTCCTGCATTCCGAGTCTTTGAGATAAATATGTGGCTACTGTGCAAGGCAAAGGCTTTCATGTATGAACAGTGCAAAGGGATGAGTCAAATCTGGTAACTCCAGAGCAGGGGCTGCCATCAATGACTTTTTAAGATATGGACATTCCACAGTTGAGTGAAACACATCTTTCGATTCCTTTCATGGTTCATACAAAGACTTTTCCAACAGTCCTTAACTGGCGATCCATTAAAAATGCAATGCATTAATTCCCAAAAAAGGACACAGCTTTTTTATGCATGTTAGTTCTGATGTTTTAGTGTGCTTCCTACCTTTCTGTCCCCAAACTACACTCTCATTGTGAGTTTGGCAGCCAGATGAGACATGGGCAGATATGAACATGATCCTGAAGAAAAAGAAAAAAATTTGTGACATGGTAAATCATCTTGGCATGGTAATAGTCAACCTAATTTCAATGACATGCTTTTATTCCTTCTCCCTGTAATGACAGGACAAGAGTTCTTTGGTACCAACAGATTAAAATCAGGACTAAGCTTGGGTGTGGGGAAAATGAAAGTCAAATGAACATAAGCGGAGTGTAAAATGTTTCTCCAGAAGTGACAGTAATTTCAATGGCCACCTGCAGTCAGCACTACTGTCAGCAAACTGTAATTGTGTTCATGGTCCTCCCTGGCCTTTCCACGCCAGCTCCTCCTGCAGAGCACCTGGGGGCCTGGGCATGTTGCTGGCTTGTTTCCTTTGAGGAGGCTGGGATGAGGAAAGGCCAGGGCATTGTGTCAGAGATGATATTTGAGTGACCGTGTGCGTGCTGGAAGCCTCACAGACTGACGGGCCCACGACACGACGGCCCAGAGCTGGCGGGGCTGCACCTTGCTGCCCTGGTTAGAGGTGTTGAGCTGCTCCTTTGCCTCAGAGAGAGCCAAGTGCAGCGCTTTGGTGCAGAAACACTTTATTAGCCCTTGTTTGAACAGCTGTAGCTGCTGGGATTGGTGGGGTGCCCCTTTCTGGACTTGGAAATGAGCAGAGCCAGTGATGGGACAGGGTGGGGCATTCCCTACCTGTGCCCATTGTGAAATTCCTCTGCCCCCACTGTGTCACGTCCCGCTCCTCAGTGACATCCCGGCCAGCCTGGCACATGGAACTCCCCGTTTCCAAGGACACGTGGCCATTGTCACCGGCACAGGGCAGGAGCGCTCAGAGCCTTCGGCGGCTGCAGCGAGAGCAGGGGTGTCAGAGCCACAGCGAGTGTTGTTCCACCTTGGCTGGTTCCAGCAACCGTTGTTCAAGAGCCCGATCCGCCCACTGAGTGGAGGCAATTATTTATAGTTCTGTGCAGACAGGGGGGCTCAGGGACCAATTCACAAATCCAGCAGCACGAGAATCCAGAATGTTTGAGTATTTATACATTTGAGCAAAGAAAGGAATTAGTGTTCAATGCTTGCAAGTTCCCTAGTTCTCTTCATAAGGAGTATTCTTTCTGCTGTTGGAAAATGATCCTCTCACTTCTCATGCTCATTAGTCTGCATGCTGAGTTTCTCCCTTCTTCTTAGTGGGAGGTTTCTTGAGTGGGCGGCCATGGTCTGCTCCTGCTGGAATGGCCTTTTACCCTGCTGGTGCTGATTCAGCACAGTTGCTGCATTGCCTTTATCAGTTTGTTCCTTTTCTTGTGGGTTCTCCCAAATGTCCTTGTACCCATAAGTTCTGCATTCTTTGTGTCCATCATGAGTGGTACATCCTTCTTCCCAAACCTTGCTGACCTGCCCTGTGTCTGAGGTCACTGAAGCCTGTCAGGCCCTGCACCTCCACAAGGCAATTCAGCCAAGAAGTCACCTGCCTTTCCATGGCCTGGCCATCACTTCCAGCTTGTTGGCTACTTCTTGTTTCATGGGAATCATCTCCTTTCTTGTTGATGAGCCTTGGAAGCCACAAAGGCCAAACGTCCAGGAACATATTTTCCTAAGAAATATTTTAAATTTTTCAGATTTTCAGCAGGATCCGTGTGTGTGTAGGAGCGGGAGCAGCCGAGGCGGAGCGGGATGGCGGAGCTGCGGGCCTGGGCAGGATCCAGTGAGTTCCGCAGGGCCCCAATCTGCACTGCGTCCTGCAGGGCCCCCACCAGCACTGCCATGCCTGTCAGGGTGAGCCAGAGGTGCCAGGAGCAGCAGGTGAGGGGCAGGTGTGGGGCTCTGCAGGTTGGCAGCGGGCAGGGGCTTGGCCATGGTGTTGGTGTCAGGTGCTGCTGAGCACTCGGGACCTGTTGGGCAGGGCTGGGGCCCCTCTGGTGCTCCAAGGGCCCTTGGAGGCAGCTGCCTGGGGGGAAGCGACTCACAGGGATGGCAGAGGGGAGGTGTCTGTGTAAGTGGGAGGTTCTCTGACGGAAGTGGCCCTCAGGGATGCCAGAGAGGAGGTGCCAGTGGAAGTCAGATATTCTCCATGCTGTGATACTCAGGAAATTCTTGCTCTGGGCATGGCTCATGGCCAAAATGCACGGATTTCTCATAGTTTCAAGTTTGTAGTGCCCTCACAGAACGTCAGGATAAAGGAAACTCTCTAAAAATATTTTTTACTTTTGGAAGGACCTGTTACTCTAATTCTTTCTGTGATGCATAATAGAGAACTCCAGCCACATGCACACCATTTTCAAAGCTTTTCCACTTATTGATACATTTTTGCCAAAGAAAGAAAGTAATTTTTTTTGGTTCTAAATTACAGTTCCCTTAAATACTATTCTACCTTCTATTTGGGATGTCTCTCTTCTCACGCTAAATAGTCAACATTTTTCAGTCCATTTATCATAGCCATTAAGATTTTATCTCAGCCAATTTTGCCTCCAGAATGAAGCAGTGGGATGGAAGAAATTAGTTTTGTTAAAAAATGTACTTAGGTTTGTGGGATCTCAGTCTCTCAGAACTGGGGGGCTCGGGAGTCCTGGAATGCTGCCAGAAATGTCTGGTGGCTGGACTTTGATCCCACATGGGAGATGACATCAGTATGAGGACGGGAGGATTTCACTGGGGTGAATGGTGAAGGGACAAGTTAATTGGAGTGTGAGATACAGGGTTTAAGATCCCTGTACAGGGGGGTCTAGAGAGGCAAGATGGAGGGATTGGGGCGTGCCCTTCTCCTTCTTCTTCTTCCTCTAAGCCTCCATCTTCTGTGGTGGAGTTGGCACTCCGGGATTGGACCTTACTAGGGGAACACTGGTTAATAAGGGAAGAGGGTATTGGAGAAAAATGATAAATATTGTATACGTAACTCCGGGTATAAAGATAGGTGACCGCCCCAGGGGCTTTCAGTGTGTGCCCATGGCTGACTGCTGAGCAGAACTCTGTCAGGCCAAGAGAAAATCTTTTAGATAAGCAATTAATAAACACCAAGACCAAGAACAAATCTGAAGCTTCCTCTCGTCCTTTCGAACCCGGGGGCCCAAGGCCATCTTTGGGCTTTTTCCCAGACCATCTAAACAGCACCAAAATCCAACATAGGTTGATTAATATTTTAGTGATGTTTGAGTTCCAATGGAATGTGACATATTCTGTACTAAATGATGAGTTCAGCCAAGCAACCCAAATTTCATTACATCTCACAAACTCTTTCCATTTCACATCTAGGAAAAAATTAATTTCTAGAGCTGAGGAAAAGAGAAAGGGTTTTCATGCATGTTGAGATTTTAAATTCAGATTGTGCAGATGAAATTGTTCTCAGAGCTGACTCTGTGATGTGCTTCCATAGTGCCAAAGGAATCCCAGTGCTGGTCCTGCCCTAAATTCTTGATCGTTTTGTGAACCCGCTCTCACCAGGATTGTTAGCTGAGTCAAGCTGGCCAGGTCCATTGTACTCAGGCACTGGAATTCAAGGGAAGCCTGTGCCTATAAATTCCAGCATTTGGGAAAGGATGACTTGCTACTTGAAGGCTTGGCTGCATTAGAGGCTGAGTGAGGGTGGCTCTCTCAGGGCACTTTTGTAGCCGGCTGCTTTCAGAGGGAGAGCTGTGTCAAAGCAGCCCTTTTTGATGATGTGACCGTAAACCTTTGCAACTCCAGCTCTGGTTTAAAAAGAAGGGTATCATTAATCAGCAGTAATGGAGAGTAGGCTGAAGTTTTTACAGAAAATTTCTTTCCCTTTTTAGTCAAATGCCAGTGAGGCCTGGCAAAATGGAAGTGTTCAGGATGTCAAATCGTGTAACACACTTGGAGGTATGGTTTCCTATCATCTTTTGCTCAATGTATGTAAGACTTTCAACTTGGTCATTCTTTCTCACAGCATATTGTTGGGACAGTCAATCTCTAGTGTTCAGAGACTTCAACCTGGAGATTGAGGTCAGCCTCAATTCAGCCTTGCAGTCTCTTGTCACTGCATTCAGACAGTGGTTTATTTCCCCTGAGAAAGCCTGCCAGTTCCTATTTGTTGCCATTTTGCTTGATGGGTTGCAATTTGGAGCATGGAGGTCAAGGTTTGGACCACCTTATGCATTTAAATTCACAGACTTGGTACCTAAGGTTTTGGTTTTGTAACACTTAGGAACTGTCAATATCCATTAAATTAAATTGGGAAATTGAAATAAAGTGACCTTGAGGAAGTTGCATAGAGAATTTCATAAGATCAAAATGGAAAACCATGCTAGATTTAATTTTTCATCTTGGTAATTAATAAGTGATGTTACCACAATACTACACTGGTTTCTTTTCAAGAAAATTGAAAGGAAGATATTGATGTCATCTTTCCCACAGATTCCAACACTCCCCTCAAAGCACAATGTGCTTAGGTGACGCCATTTGTGTTAACCTGTTCTGAGTGCAGTTTCCCCAAGGAGCCTGGCTCCAGGCAGACACCAGGTGCACATTCCCCTTCCAGGCACTCAGTGGTGCTGCCTGCAGCAGGGAGCTGAACCAGGCACAGCCAGCTGCCCTGAGCAAAACAGGCTCTGACCTGGCTGTGGCTGCAGTCACCTGCCTGCAGGGACATCCCTGCCCCTGCGAGTGCAGCTCTTGCTCTGCCTTAGCCTAGTGCAGAGCATTTTAAGGCAGCACCATGGTGGCATCTGGAGAACTCAAAACTCAACTTCTGAATTTCTCATTGGGGATGTTCAGTTCCACATGTGATTGATGACTTGTGTGATTCATGGTGGTGGTCTACATAGATCTTAAGGGAACATTTAACTTTAAATACCTGGCAGGTGAGGACTGGCAGTAGTGAGTCAGTTGTGGAACTTGGTGGCAATTTTTCTTTGGGCTGGCACAGAGAAACTCACATGAGGTCTGGTTGCTGGTAGGGTACAGGGTGCCTTTGCAACATGCTCCACACAGTACCAGTTAGGGAGTGGGCTTTGTCACAGAGTCAGAGAATATGCGAGTTCAAAGTGATCCACAAGGATATGCAAGTGCAGCTCTGTCTCCAAGATTTCCATCATCATTTTCAATCAACTCCTTTGCCTTCTGAAAACTTCATATTTGTCACTTCTTTTTCTGCTTCCTTTCCTTTGAGAAAACCAGCAGATGTGAGAAGAGCCAAACCAAACTCTTCATGCCCTTCCGCTGAGGACAAGAGAGTAAAGCTCATGAAGCCTGGAGAGAGGGAAGAGAATCCTTGCAGTGCTGTTTATCAGCGACCCTACAGGGACAGGGTGATTCATTTAGTTGCTCTGAGGACTTACAAGAAGCCAGAGTTGCTTGCTCGCTTGCAGAGAGATGGAGTCATGCAAAAGGACAAGGGCAGCCTTGCAAAGATCCTTCAGCAGGTGAGATTGTGCAGTTTGTGCCAGCATTATTTCCACCATGCTATTATATTGTTCCTAATTGTCTTTTTAAATTCTGACTCTTTAAATTAGATACCTATGAACAAGTTAAGGAATTCTCCCTGTCAAGTTCTTCCATTAAATTCACCCAGAGGTCTCAAGCTGCAGGTCCATGTGACAAAAAGAAAGAAAACTTCAAAACTTTTGGGACATTGTTGTTTTCCTAGAATGGCTGGCAATGAGTAAAACTTTGTAATGTTGTTGCTCCTCATGCCTTATTCCGTTCTCCTTCTTTTCCATGCACTGTTTAACTGCTTCAGGTAGTAACTTCATAGGTGTTCCTTGATTGTGTGAAATGGTTTGTAGTGGCACATAAAATTTCTTGGGAGAAGTTCCAGAGCAGAGGAGTTCAGGAACTGCAGAGGCCAGTATTTCATTTGAACAGAGTTGGTGACTATTTCAGGATCTGTGGGGATTGCCTTCCCAGGGTGTTCCAGGCACATCCTCCATGATAAAGATGGTAGCCAAACTTTGAGCAGAGGGTTTCTTTGCTGTCACGTGAATTAAATCTCCATGTTCATGGAACCCTTTATTCAGTAAATTCTCCAGTGCTCCTCTGAATTCCCTGGTTATTTTGTTATTACAGCCAACAATAGGATGCACATGCATTGAAAGTGCTCCTCTGAACTGCACTGGAATTTCCTTATTATAGCCTGCCATAGGATACACATGCATGGCAAGATGCATTGCTTCTTTCCTTCCTTTTTATATATTCCGTGTTCTCCTAGGCTGTTTTTGAATGATGCCAGCATTAATACATCAAATAGGAACATTTCCTCTTTACCTAGGAAAAAAATTGATGGAGGTTTTTCAATGGGCTTTTCTATGTAACTCTGAGAAGGTGTCAGCAGATGAAGTCTCAAGCAACACTTTGGATATCAGTGGTCTTGATGTTTTACTACCTAATTTTATCTTTTTGATTAGACTTTGTATGTGTCTTGAGGAAGATATGAACCTCATTTCTTTTCAAAGGAATACAGCAATGCCTGTGCACGGCTTTCTCATGGCAAACTTTGCTGGAATGAACCCTGGCTCAGCCACATGATGAGGGCCTCTGGGCCTGACCCCCTCTCCTTACACATTGTAGCTCTCAATGTTGTTTTCAAAGGAACTCTTGCTAGATAGGAAGGGAGTTACTTGGTTGTTTCCAATTGGTGAAACATTATTATGGCTTAAAACTCATGTGATAAAGAAATAATCAAGGTCTGTGTGAAAAGATATAATTGTTTCCAACTGGGTTCTGACAAGCAGCTGTTCAAGACCAATCATATTTCTGTAGTTTCCATGCAGCAAGCATAATAAAGATTTGTTTTCATACATATCTGCTTGTAGGCAGCCAAGTGGAATGCAAAGGATAATTCCTTCAGTCTGAAGGAACATCTCTTCCAAACCCTTCAGACTGATTGGACTGACTACCCTGAAATAGACAGACAGAATTTGAAGTTAATCCTCTCTGGGTTGGTTCAGTCTTTCAGAGATAGGAAAATAAAACATCCCTGGTTAATGAAGCTGTGATGGTGAGGAATCAGGGACCTGCCAGGATCCTGGCCCTGCACAGGACACCACAAGAATCACAAGAGTGTTGTCCAATCACTACTTGAAGCCTCCTGCAGTGACCACTGGCCTGGGGAGCCTGTTGCAGTGCTCCAGCACCCTCTGGGCCATGAATGTTTTCCTGATATCCTGCCTAAAGCTCCCCCAACTCAGCTTCAACCTGTTTCCTTGAGTCCTGACACTGAAGGACTCTGTTTTCCCTGCAAGGAATGAATTTTGACAGTTGATCTTTAGGCTTTGTAACATGAAATATTGGCCGTCCATACAGAAAATCGACTCCATCTCAGAGCACCACATACACCTGCCAAGCGACATCTCCAGGGCCTTCTGAGAGAGACACTCCAGCAAGACCGGCTCAGGTATTTTGTTCATTTTGAACATTCTAGACTGTGTGGTAAATTTTGGCTGACTTGCTGCTGGTGTAAAAGCTGTGATGGGAATGTGCAGGACCTTGCCTTTTGGGGAAGCCTTTGATGGAGCTCCTGAATGGAGTGTCTTTCTCCCAAAGCTTTTTAGCTGCTGACTTGAAGTAGGACTTTCTAAGTGCTCAGATGGGAAAGTGGGAATGAGATAGAGTCTGTATTTACCTGCAGTACTTCTGGGTTTGAATGCTTTTCTTTGTGTAGAAAGATGAATATTCAAACTCTAACCAATCAGAAATGCTGCTTTTTCATAACGGGAGCAAAAGATGATCCTGATCATTGGTGAATGAATGAATTATTTTGTTATTGTTGCAGAAACGGCCTCTGGCTTCTGACATTACCAGTCCTGTGACGAGCAGGAAGAGGAGATTTGGCCACCAGCCCAGTCATGTCCAGCCAGCAGCTGGTGGCCACTTTTCTTCCTTCCTTCTTCCTTCCACATCTCTTTTGCCTTTGGACATGTCACCAAGTGCTGCCTCCCTTTCCCCAGGCATCCATGTGGTGCAACCAACAGAGAAATTTCTGAGTTCCAGAGTCCCAGCACCATCCAGGGAGCAGAAGGGGATCCCCAATTCAAACGGGGAGAAAAATTAATTGAGGAGGCTGAAGCAGTGGCACTGCTTGGATTTTGATGAAGGTATTGATGTGCTGGTTTTCCTGACTCCTGTGTGGATAACTGTGGTGTAAAGATCTGGTTATTAAGAGAGGCTTCTGCCCAAATTAAGGTGCAAGCATGACTCTTTTCCACAGTCCATAGTAAAAATGCTACTGAACTGAAAATTCAAACTACAGAGATAAAAAGAAATGAGAGAAGAGAGGCAGGCTGAGGGGAAGAGAGAGTCATAAAGTAGGGAGATATCATCACCACATGGACTCTGTTGTCCAGCCTGTGTTTCTTCACCTATGGTCTGCTCAGTGATGGGTGTCCCCCGGTCTCTCTGGAGTCACCACCTTTATACTGTCCAAGATTGGAGTATCCACATGGTGGTCACAGCTGCCCCCACATCTTGGGCTAGAAGCCATGCAAGCAGTGATTTTCCTTACTCACGGTCTCTACTGTGGAGGTTTTTGTCTGGTGTCCTAATTCCAAACCCTCAGCTCTGCTAGTTCAAGTCTTAATGCTTTTCTTCTTGCCATCTGTGCTTCTCTCAAATTCCGGTTGTGATGGCTTATCTTACGGGAAAATCCTTTTTTGACTTCATTCTGAAATAGTTAATTGTGCTCTTGCAGCTTGTGAAAAGGGTGCATTGAAAGAGGGCACTGGATACCTGAAGGCACTGCTCTACCATTGTCTCTGCTGTATAGTCATGGTAAATCAGGAACTTTTTCTTTTCTGCCCTTATATTACATTGGAACTCTTGGTTTAAAAGACAACAGCAAAGGCAAGAACCCGTGCTGTTGGAACCTTCTCCAAAAGTACTTTGATTTTCAGAAATTCTCCCTCTGTAAAACCAATGAAGAACAAAGAAATATGAAATAGAATGCTATTGTGAGAATCTGGTAAAAGGAAGAGCCAGACACTAGAAGCCAAAGGGAATGATGGATGTTTTTGTTATCCTCTGATTTCTAGGAAAATGATAAGTGTTGAATGATACAGCAATTTTCCATCAGCAGATTTTCAAGACTGCATGCTGAAGGCAGAAACCTGTCACACATTTATTGCAGACTCGTTTGCTGAAACCTTTTGATCAAATCTCAGTGATTCCCTGGTTGTTCATTGAACTCAGCCTTTTTCTGGAAACTGCAAAAGCTACAAAACCTGGGCTGTGGTTTCCTAGAGTTCTACTTTGAACTGTGCTGGGAGTTTCCTCTCCATCCCAGCTGCAGAATTTCATTCTTCAAAAGTTGTGGAAGTGTTACAGATTGAAAACAACATGGAAAAGCAAAACAGAAATGCATAAAGAACACTTGATTTCTGATGACAGAAGGCAGAGTTCAGTTGCTTTGTTAAATCTGTGGGTTGCCTCTTTTGGAGGTTGAGCTTGCAAAATCCCAATTGGGTTCAGCCTGGAGGCAGGTTTGGAGTGTGCAGATGCCTAATGCTACTGGTGGTGTGCTTGTAGAGACAGGTGCTTTGAGATGGTCTTTCCACATTTCTTCTGGACATAGACACAGTACCTGCAAACCTTGGGATGCCTTTGGAAAGATTTCTGCCTAAATCTAGAAACTCATGTGAGCAGCTTTGTTCAGGAGACAGTTCCCAAATTCTGCCCAGCTAGTGAAAGAAAAATCTGTTCCATGTTTCAAGTTGGGGCTGAGGCTGAAACTTTCATGTGGACTGAGGCATCAGAGCAAATGCACTTTTAGGAATGAAATGCTCACAGCAAAGCTGTTCTTCCAAGTTGTATTGAACATACTGTGACTATTGGTATATCTGTCCAGTTTTATTACCACTATTAAACTTCCTTTTATACTTCTGCTGTATAACCGAAATCAAGAAAAACAAGTGGAACATCACACAACAGCTCTTTCCTCAAGAATTGAAGCTGATGTAGCTTAAATATTGTCAAGAATGGCTGAGTTTTAACAAGATTACTTTGTGTAAACAGTGGCAAATGGAAGCTCATAAGGAATGTAAAGGAACTTGTGGCTTTTTATGCTTGAAACAAACCTTAAATGGAAAGCAGAGACTGTTTACAATGATCTTGATTGTTCCTTCCTGTTTCAGGTGACTTTTTGTTAAGACATTTCTTTCTAATACCATCATAATTCTTCAACCTTTCTTTGGAAAATGGAGGGCTTTGAAGTTATGTTTCCCAAATGCCTTTGAAAAAGGCATTTCTGAATCCCTTTGCCAAGAGCCAAAGGGCAATTCCCAAGTGCAGAGCTGTTTCCAACCCAATCCTGCCACGTTAATGAGGAACACTGGGTTTTGTCGGCAGGGTACTGGAGCCTTAGTGCCAGTAAGCCCTATAGAATGGAATTGGCTTTCCTGCTGACAAGAGTGCAGGCATTCATTGGAACTTTGGGCCTCTGGATTTGGCAGGGAAGTGGGGATAAAAACGTGGCATGAGAAGAACTTCTGATTTCTTCTTTTATTGTTGTTTGAGCCTCGATGTTGATTTCTCTCAAGCTGTTGTCTTTGGAAGCTGCATCTTTTGCTGCATGACTTGCCTGGTTCTGCACATGCAACCTCATGCTTTTAAAGAACAAAATCGGAGCTGGGGCTAACCCCATGGGAATGCACAACTTGTAGAATACAGTGGCCATTCCCTCTTTTTAATTCCCAGGACTGAATACTCTGGAGGCCATGTCTGTCTTTTTTTTAAATGTTTTTGCTTCTTGTGAGTAATTAGCTGTGGGAAGAACACTCTTGAGGACTTTTTCAAGACTGTCCAAGTGGGATCTTTTGGCCTTTTAATGATCTCCTGATGAAGAGTGTCAAAATTCTACTTTTCTGTAGGAACTAGAAAATATACTTCTATTGTGTCCACATGCTCTCCAACAAGTGACCAACCAGATTACTTGAGATGAGTAAAAGAACAATTCACCCTTGCCCCTATCAGTGGGGTGCAGTGTCAAACTCTTTCCCTTGCTGAAAGGATGAGTTTGATCAGGTTTAGTTGGGTCTGGAAGGCTCAGAGCAGAGATGAACACCGAGGTGGGTTAGGCCTGGTCGGGCCTTCCCTTCCTGCAGTGCAGTTACACAGGCTCAGCTGCAGCAGTGCTGCTGCATCCCCTCATCAAATTTGCAGTGCAGGAGGGGAGGGAGAGGTGTGTGTGTGTGTGTGGTATAAAAGACTGGAACTTGCTGCCAGTGTGAGAGCAGGGATGTTGGCAAGGGCAGTCAGGCCTCCTGCACCTCTGGGCCTCTGGGGCAGCTGCGGCCTTTGGAGCAGGCGCGGCAGGGCCCTGGCTCACATTGCTCCGGTGCCTCCAAAAATGTTGAAAGCCATCTGTAATTTTCTTTTCAAAATTATCCTGCGCACTAGTCAGGTGTGTCTGGCCTGGGATTCATCCTTGGCACCATGTGTTTCAGTCTTTGGACTGAAATCCAACTTTTTAAATATTTACTGGTTTTAAATATCAACCTCAGGATGGTTTCAAACATTTATTTCCATGTGAAAGGTGTTTTTGTTATCCAAAATCCAAGATCTTAAGGCCTAGAGGAGCAGAAGCATTGGTGTGAGAGTGTTGGGAAGTAGCATCTATTGTTGTCATTACCATTTCATTTGGATTTGTATCATGAACTTGATAAACCTCATGCTTCTTGATTCGCGGGAGAAGGAATTTTATAATATTTGTCTCCCATCAGTGCCTTTAAGGAATAATGAATTTTGCCCTCCTTAGGGGCTGATGTGCTTTGGGTAGTAGTTTTAGTTTCAGGCTGATATAGAGATTGTTTTTGTGACTGTATTGCAGATGCCTCAGTTCCTTGTTCAGAGATGTAACTGCTGTCTGCTTGAAGAATCAAATATTGCCATTAACTCTGCTTTGCTGTTAGACAGACAAGAACATAGCTCATAAGTCCAACTCTGTGCACTCAGCTTCATAAATGTAGTCCCTGACAAATATGTTTTACAGATGTATTGTCACTAGTAAATGTAACTAATTAAGCCTTTCCTACAGAGGAAGAGATTATAATTTTGTAGTGCATCTCCTCTTCCTTAAGCTGCTGTATTTGTTTGTCATTTGACATTTGAAATTTAAGCAAATGTTTTCTAACCATGCTCCACTTCCTAATGAAGAAAACCTCTAGGGTTCAAAAGATTCGTAACTAAGTGTCATAGAAATGTGACAGATTCCTGAGCTACCTGATTACATTCCCTTGAAGCACACGAGCTTGGAAGTAGAAGCTGTCGGTCCCAGAGAAACTGACTCAAACCTTGGGTTTCTGTGTTTGACATTACCCAGTGCTTGGTGTAAAATTACAAATGTGTTTTATGGACTAGAAACATACTGGAATGTGCTCTTAAGAGTTCACTCATGGAAAAATAGCCTCATTTTTTCCCTTAGAAAATACATAGCCATTGTCTCCTTGGAGGAACGCCAGAGCTACAAGGCTGACTTCAATGCAGAGTATGAAGAATACCGGAATTTACACTCTGCGGTTGACAAGACCATCAAGAAGTTCAGACGGTTTCAGGAGCAACGGAAGTCTCTGACTCCAGGCTCTGAATCCTATCAGGTAAAGAAGGACAAAACCATGAAGACTGTGCTTCATCATCACAGCAGTGTTCTGGATTCCCTGGAGCTGCTCAGTGAAACAAAGGGAACCTGCAGAATTGGCATATATGGTCGGACACTGCTTGGGCTGGGTCTGATTTTTGCAAGACTGTGCCCAAAAGCCCCTGTTTGATCTGTCTGCGAAGGAGCAGTAAGGGGAGAGGTGTCCCAAGCAGAGTCATAGAGCATGGGCTCCTTCTGTTGCCTGTTGAGAGTCTTAATTGCAGATCTTGGGTGATGCTGGGAGATGGAGATTTGTTTTTGCAAACGTCCCAGAAGAGTGGTGGCTGACAGAGAAGAAAATGTCTAGAGTCAGACTGAGTGAGCTTTTAGTGTTTTAATAAAGTTTGCATTTCATGGTGGCAATGAAACATTCCTCATGTTTTTTTTCTTGTAGATGCTGAATCATCGAATCCGAGCAGATTATCAGCAGTTACAACAGGTACGTGTGACACCCAAGCTGCGGGGCCACAGTAACTTCTGAGTCTGCCTCAAGGCTTTTTTAAAGCAAATGGCATCAGACTCTAGGATCTGCAGAAGTGTTTGAATGCTCTAATTTTTGTTTTCTTTCTCCTTCACAGGGTAGCCCCAGCTACTCTGAAATGAAGAGCAGGTGCCTGTACCTCCACAAAAAGCTGGCCCATATTCAGAGCTGCATTTCTGAATTTGACCAGCTGTAAGTGGAGTACTGGCACTAAGACATCTGGTTTGGCCTCTTTAAATCTGTGGACCCTGGATTTTTTATTTCAACTAGAAGATTAGGTTTTAGGAATTTTTGAGTTAGTATTGAACTGCAGGTTATGTTAGCACTGAGCTGTAGCTTATTTCTTAAAAATGTAGGATTAGTTCAAACAAGTTTAGTAAGTTTAAGAAGTTGAAAGATGATCGTGTTGAAATTTGACAATAAAGAAATCTCACTATTGGTAAGTCCTTCTCTCAATGTTCCATCTATGATATTTGGAGTGGATTTCTTCTGGTCAATTCTGTTCTTCAAGTCTTAATTTTGTCCACTGAAATAAATTTATCAGTCAAGAGTGGAAGCCCACTACCTGTACTATGAAGTTGTGCTCATTTTAAGAATAGATTTTGGCCGATGGAAATTATTTATAAATTTTGAGTGTTTTTGACCTTTCTTGTTTATGGAAAATCTTTGCCTAAGTAGTCAAAGACATTGAAGTTTGGACAACCGTGTCCGCAAATCACTTTGGTTTGGAGGCCTACCGTGGAGTGTGTGTGGGCTGCTCTAAGTTGTCGTCTGAAGCAGCTCTCAGAACAGATTTTAAATCATGGCCTCCCCGTGTCAGTGAGCCAAGGAATATCCAGATCTTTGACGGAGTTTTGTAAAACATGTGGAGTAGTGTTGGAGGCAAGGTACTTCAATGGATTTTAAAGAGAAATTAGGTTCAAGAGGCCCTAGGGAAATGCTGTCCCTTCCTATACACATTTAAACCAGTCTGTCTCAACCAGCCTTTCTAGAGAAACACAGATGTTGATTCCTGCACAGACCTCTGGGAACTTGGAATAAACTTTTCCTAAGTTTTCTGCCATTTATTTATTTAGCTGAAACGGTAGCCTTGTTACCAGAAAAACCTTTAACTTCTTTTTGGGAAAAATATGAAATTGTCTGAGGCAGGATAATGATTGGGAACACTCAAAGGGGGCTCTGAATGCCCCTTTCTTCCTTAGAGAGGATTCTACAAACTCTCAATTGTTACCATGCAATGATTTTAAGTCCCTACCTGAGAGATCTTTGAGTGTGTTCTGATTGAACAGCTGAGCCATCGTTGCCCTTCTGTTCCCCGTCAAGTGAAGTTCATTAAAATATCACCTCTTAAACCCTAAAATTTGGGTCCATTTTTGCCAGGGTCAGGGGTTGCTTCTACAGCTCTGCAGTGCAGCAGCCCCAGGAACACTGCCGTGGGGGGCATGGGGTGAATTGTGCTGGGGAGCCTCCCCTTGTCCTGGTGGCTGCTGCTGGTTGACAGAGCGTGCAAGAATGCTGCTGGCCTAATGCTGGGCTAAGAGTGAGGATTTTTCATAGTTACTCCTTCATGACCTAGTGCACCTTTTATGGAATTTCTTCTAACTAATTCTACACTGCATAAAGAAGTTTTATTTCCATGCTTTTACAAGTCTAATCTTCATATTCCTGGCTGACTCTATTTCCCCCCCCAGTTCCTCGTGCGTTGGGGCAGGTTTCCCTTGGGGGAAGATGTATGAATGCACTGGTACCATCCCCTTTTACTGCTGAATGAGTGTTTAGGCCTACTTGAAATGGTCCTTTCCACTTTTCTTTAAGTGCCTTGTTGCTGTGCTTTCTGACATATACACAGTCCCAGGTTGATTAGGATGTACCTGAGCATCCAAAGTCCTCAGGGATGCTCATACACACAATTTCTACAGAGATGACAATACTTTTCACAAAGAGGGTAAAAAGGAACTTATGTCTTTCCCTATGACATAATTTCTCTAGAAAGTATTTCAATTTGGTATTGTCTTCCATAGAGCATTTCATGTGGGATAACATTTTCTTTAAAAGCCACTGGAATTCTGATTCTCAACAGTGGCAGGGGAAGCACTTTTGGCCACTTAAGTGAGGTTTCCTGGAAAATGTTACACATTTGTCTTTGTGGGCTCTGATTTACTCTCAATCTTGCTGCTGGGGTAAGACCTCCATGGGCTGAATAAGTTTCAATTAACTGGGACAGTTTTGGATAAATTTAGTGCAGTTTCAGCTATGAAATGAGAATCTCTATCCACTGGCAACCCAAAAGAAATCCTTAATCATAGTAGTATTTTTATTTTTAACTGGAGTTATTTCTGTAGTTTTGTTGGTGTGACAAGGAAAAGCCTCTGGCCCTGCTGAAAATGTGTCCACTAAACCCAAAAAGTATTTCTATTTACTTCTTGTTAACTCAGAAAAATGTCCTTGTCATTAACGTCTGGCACTAGCTCCCTGTTTTGGGGTCCCTAAGGGAAGGTTTTGTAAAACAGTGCATTCATCTGTAAGCAGATTTTACATTTCTCTTGTCACATTCCCTGTCAGCCTAGGATGAATTAGCTACCTTTCCAAATTGTCTACTGTACCTTCAATACACCAATGGGTTTCTTTTGTTTGTCTACTTTAGTTTGGGTCATTCTTGCTTGAGGCATTCTAACTTGTTGATCTGTTAATACCACCACAATTCAGGACCAAATCAGATATTTAGGGATTTTGCAGAAAGATTGTTTTTATCATGGTGTTCTGTGTGTGATTTGGAAGGGTTCACAACTTTGGAAAGAATTGCCAACAAGATGCTTTTATCTGCCACCTCTCCAGCAGTTTGGTTTGCTCATCGGTCTCCTGGGCTTGTGTGAACTGGTGAGCATTGCACTGCATTTCTGCTACTTCAGGAGGGAAGTGGATGCTCCCAAAACTGTGCCTGTTGAATTGGAGATGCTGATTCCTTGCAGAACAGAGCAGGGTGTAAGGCAGTAGCTGTCTTTAGCACCACGTCTTTTGTTCCAGAGTGCCAACTGGTTACTTTAGGAAAAACAGTGTGCTCCCTCATTAGCCCTGGTTTGAAAAGCAGCAGCTACTGTGGTTGGTGGGGTGCCCCTTCCTGCACTTGGAAATGAGCAGAGCCAGTGATGGGACAGGGCGGGGCATTCCCTACCTGTGCCCATTGTGAAATTCCTCTGCCCCCACTGTGTCACGTCCCGCTCCTCAGTGACATCCCGGCCAGCCTGGCACATGGAACTCCCCGTTTCCAAGGACACGTGGCCATTGTCACCGGCACAGGGCAGGAGCGCTCAGAGCCTTCGGCGGCTGCAGCGAGAGCAGGGGTGTCAGAGCCACAGCGAGTGTTGTTCCACCTTGGCTGGTTCCAGCAGCCGTCGTTCAAGAGCCCGATCCGCCCACTGAGTGGAGGCAATTATTTACAGTTCTGTGCAGACAGGGGGGCTCAGGGACCAATTCACAAATCCAGCAGCACGAGAATCCAGAATGTTTGAGTATTTATACATTTGAGCAAAGAAAGGAATTAGTGTTCAATGCTTGCAAGTTCCCTAGTTCTCTTCATAAGGAGTATTCTTTCTGCTGTTGGAAAATGATCCTCTCACTTCTCATGCTCATTAGTCTGCATGCTGAGTTTCTCCCTTCTTCTTAGTGAGAGATTTCTTGAGTGGGCGGCCATGGTCTGCTCCTGCTGGAATGGCCTTTTACCCTGCTGGAGCTGATTCAGCACAGTTGCTGCATTGCCTTTATCAGTTTGTTCCTTTTCTCAGGGCTTTGTCCAAATGTACTTGTGCCAAAAATTCTGTATTCTTTGTATCCACAATCAGTGTCTCATCCTTCTTCCCAAACCTTGCTGACCTGCCCTGTGTCTGAGGTCACTGAAGCCTGTCAGGCCCTGCACCTCCACAAGGCAATTCAGCCAAGAAGTCACCTGCCTTTCCATGGCCTGGCCATCACTTCCAGCTTGTTGGCTACTTCTTGTTTCATGGGAATCATCTCCCTTCTTGTTGATGAGCCTTGGAAGCAACAAAGGCCAAACGTCCAGGAGCACATTTTCCTAAGAAGTATTTTGCATTTTGCAGATATTTCAGCAGGATCCGTGTGTGTGTAGGAGCGGGAGCAGCCGAGGCAGAGCGGGATGGCGGAGCTGCGGGCCTGGGCAGGATCCAGTGAGTTCCGCAGGGTCCCCACCAGCACTGCCATGCCCATCAGGGTGAGCCAGAGGTGCCAGGAGCAGCAGGTGAGGGGCAGGTGTGGGGCTCTGCAGGTTGGCAGCGGGCGGGGGCTTGGCCACGGTGTTGGTGTCAGGCACTGCTGAGCCCGCGGGACCTGTTGGGCAGGGCTGGGGCCCCTCTGGTGCTCCAAGGGCCCTTTGAGGCAGCTGCCTGGGGGGGATGACCCAGATGAGGTGTCTGCGGATGTGGCATGTTCCCCATGCTGTGTCATCCAGGAAATTCATGCTCTGGGTCTGCCTCATGCTCAAAATGCTTTGATTTCTCATTGTTCTATGTTTATACCCAAGTCACCAAAAATCCAAGGATAAATGAAGCCCTTGAACTGTAATTTTTCGGTATTAGGAGTAGGCATTTTTTTAGTTCCAGCTGTGGTGCAGAGGGGAGAACTCCAGTCACATGCATGTCACTTTCAAAGTTTTCCCCTTATTGGTAGATTTTTAGCCAACAAAGAAATGACTGTTCATTGGTTCTAAATTACATCTTTGTCCTCATTAATTAGTCTTCTATCTTGTCTTGGATATTGATGTCTCTCTTCTCATGCCAATTAGTCCACATTTTTCAGTCTTATCTTTTTTCCCAGAACAGTTGATTTAGGCTCTGAGACTGAAATGTCTTAATTTGTTTCTTCTTTGTCTTCTGGCTACTCCAACGTGTTCATGGAGGGCTAGGAACTCTAGGATCCAGGTGTCCACCCTTCTACGCCCTCAGGCTTTGTCTGTTGGAAGTTATCAGGGTTAGTTTAGCAAAGCTAAAAGTTGTGGTGATCTAACAATCCAACTCTGGCAATAGACTCTCCAAAGACACTTAACAACCTTCTCTCTAAAGCAGAAAATTATAATGCTTAAGACTAATACACTGCTTGTAATCAATATACTGCTTATGATTATTTAAATGATTAATGACATATATAATTAAAATCATTAATTAGAAAAAACTATATGCTAAACAA